TTTGGAGGGAAGTATAGTTCAAAAAAGAATATTGATATTAATACCCATCGCGATCGAAAATCAAAACATCAAGGATGAGGATTTGGGTAAAATTATTGAAGAAGTACTATAAATATCTAAATTTAAATTGATGATGTTTGGATATATGAAATTAAAAATTGATCATTTAAATTGGATTGTATTCTATAGATTTTGAAGAAAGGAGAGCTCCAAGTTAGCGAGAAAGAAAGATCACATCAAATTGATAATTTTTATCGTGAAATTGCTACGATCGTTGCAGAAAAATGTGTTAACCCGCACACGAAACGACCATATACCGTAACTATGATTGAAAAGGCATTGGGAGAAATACATCTCTCGGTAAACGTGAATAAGAATACAAAATCACAGGTAACTATTTATAATTCTGATGATTTAAAATTTACAAGACGTAATAATACACAATACTGAATTATATATTAGGCGTTGGATGCGATCAAACAGCTCCAGGAAAAAAAAGTCATTCCTATTTCCCGCGCTCAAATGCGTTTGAGAATCACGATGCCAAATTCTAAGGAAACTAAGAAAGCCAAAGAGAAGTTGACGCCTTTGATTGCAAGTATTGAAGATGAAAGCTGGGATAATGAATATGAACTGGTAACATTTATCATTATTTGACAATAGTAATTTTTTTGTCAGGCATATTTAATAAGTTTTTTACGTTTAGATATGCTTAATCGATCCTGGACAGTATAGAACCATTGGTGATATATTGGAAAAGGATATAAAAGGCAAAGGTCAAATAGAATTATTATCTCTCAATGATACAAGTGAAGGAGATATAAAATTTTAAACTGTTTTAAGTTTTTTTACGTGCAACAGAATTTATGAATTTAATTTAATAAAGGAATTGTTTTCAACAATGGACCAAGAAATTAATTGTAAATATACTTTTCTCTCAGAAAGTTATCTGAGTTTTGATATATTGGTATCCGGTTTTAATCATATCTATGTTGTAATATGTTGGTATGAAGTTGTATGTACAAAAGTTAGCATAATTAGCAAATCAAGCTACAAGTAGAGGTTTGGTATATACGAATATTCGAATATATAATTCTATTACTGAATTGAATATTCAAATTATATAAATTATTTACTAAATAATTCATAGATATTAATGAATAAATACGTACCTGATTAATCATTAAAATACATAATTAGGTTTAATATAAAGGATAAATGTTCTTGTCGCCTCCCGTGACACATTTTTTTGTCACGGGTTATATAAATTTAAATCATATCTACGTAGAGTCGGCCCCTAAAGTGCTGTTACACAAGCCCGTATAATATAAAATTACAATCGAGTTATTGATATCAATATCGATATATTATATGGGCTCGTGTAACAGCACTTTGGGGGGGCCGTCCTGGCCGACTCATCTACGTACTCGCGGAGTTTTAAATATGCATATTATTGTAAATAAAATTGATCACTATGACGACATTTGTTCTGTATATAATAAATTATTCGATCCAATTAATTTATCTCTTCTGCCTTCACATTAGCGTACCCTATACTTGAATAAGATAGTAGTATTGACATAGTACTTGTTCAACCTTTCAGATATATACTTAAGTCTCATATTCGCAACTAAACAAATATACTAAAATTA